AGCGTTTTTCACGAAGACTTTACTTAGTCTTTCACATCGTGTTTACTTATGGTCGTCTTAGGATCATTGATATGGTAAGTGAATGTAATCCTACTAAACCACCAAATGTAATCGTGTTTACGTATGGTCATCTTAGGATCATTGATATGGTAAGTGAATGTTGTCCTACTTCACCAACCAATGTAATCGTGTTTACGTATGGTCATCTTAGGATCATTGATATGGTAAGTGAAAGTAGTCGTACTACACCAACCAATGCAATCGTGTTTACGTATGGTCATCTTAGAATCATTGAAATAGTAAGTGAATGTAGCCCTACTACACCAACCAATGTAATCGTGTTTACGTATGGTCATCTTAGAATCATTGATATAGTAAGTGAATGTAGCCCTACTACACCAACCAATGTAATCGTGTTTACTTATGGTCATCTTAGGATCATTGATATGGTAAGTGAAAGTAGTCGTACTACACCAACCAATGCAATCGTGTTTACGTATGGTCATCTTAGAATAATTGATATAGTAAGTGAATGTAGCCCTACTACACCAACCAATGCAATCGTGTTTACGTATGGTCATCTTAGAATCATTGATATAGTAAGTGAATGTAGCCCTACTACACCAACCAATGTAATCGTGTTTACGTATGGTCATCTTAGGATCATTGATACGGTAAGTGAATGTAGTCCTACTACACCAACCAATGTAATCGTGATTACGTATGGTCATCTTAGGATCATTGATATGGTAAGTGAATGTAGTCCTACTACACCACTAAATGTAATCGTGTTTACGTATGGTCATCTTAGGATCATTGATATGGTAAATGAATGTAGACCTACTACACTACTAATGCAATCGTTTTACATATAGTCATCTTAGGATCATTGATATGGTAAGTGAATGTAGTCCTACTACACCACCCATTGCAATCATGTTTACGTATGGTCATCTTAGGATCATTGGTCATTGATATTTATTAGCTTTGTATAAGCTTTCCAAATATGAAACCTTCTAAACACCATTTCACTTTATTTTTTCAGGTAAAGACAAGTATAGCCATGAATATATTCTGTGTACTCATCGTAACATTCAGTATAACTACATACGGCACTGCATTCCTCGAATTGGACACTTTCCCAGATTGGGCAATGCCAGACCCAGTTGCTAATACAACAATTATACCATGTGTTACTATGGCAGCATAACTTTATACGGCACTGTATTCTTCAAATTGGACACTCTCGCAGCTTGGGCAATGCCAGACCCAGTCGCTAATACAACGATCATGCCTTATGTTACTATGGTAGCATAAATACTTACGTCACTGCATTCTTCAAACTTGACACTTTACCACATTGGGCAATGCCAGACCTAGTTGCTAATACAACAATTATTCCATGTGTTACTATGGCAGCATAACTTTATACGGCACTATATTCTTCAAATTGGACACTCTCGCAGCTTGGGCAATGCCAGACCCAGTTGCTAATACAACGATCATGCCTTGTGTTACTATGGTAGCATAAATACTTACGTCACTGCATTCTTCAAACTTGACACTTTACCACATTGGGCAATGCCAGACCTAGTTGCTAATACAACAATTATTCCATGTGTTACTATGGCAGCATAACTTTATACGGCACTGTATTCTTCAAATTGGACACTCTCGCAGCTTGGGCAATGCCAGACCCAGTTGCTTAATACAACAATCATGCCATGTGTTACTATGGCAGCATAATGCATACGGCACTGCATTCTTCGAATTAGACACTTTCCCAGATTGGGCAATGTCAGACCAAGTTGCTAATGCAGCAATTATGCCTTGTGTTACTATGGCAACATCACTACACGGCACACTATATTCTTCAAATTGGACACCTTCCCAGATTGGGCAATGTCAGACCAAGTTGCTAATGCAGCAATTATGCCATGTGTTACTATGATAGCATTACAACATACGGCACTGTATTCTTCAAATTGGATACTTTCCCATTTTGGGCATGCCAGACCTAGTGGCTAATACGACAATTATAACATGTTTTAATATGGTCGCTAAATTACATAGGGCATTGCATCCTTACTATTGGACATTTCCCCAGCTTCTTCCAAAACAAGATGTGTCAAAAATTATGATGTACATCCTTTGATCACAGTATCATGTAAAGTCCCTCTAGAAGTAAACAGGAGAAATTGTCTCTAATGATTTCACAGCTGTTTAGCTTTGCATATGCAAGCACAGCAAAGACTAGTTCCCATTCAAGGGGCATTAAATACAGGGCTGACAATATTCTGTAAAATTGACTTAAAAACAGATTGATAGTACACCGTTCTATTCTGAACAACAGCGTGACTTTGTTTTCAAAACTTATACTGGTAGTCTGGTACATTCCAAATATACATGTACAGGGTGGGCCAAAAAATTTTGCAACTTTTTTAAAAGGCTAAAAAGGTATCAAAACATAAGGGTATTGCCATAAAAAATTATTTACAGAAACTTAAGGATAGGCATATTTTACCAGTTAAATGCTAAAGCTAAAACTGGCTTCAAATATTTTTGTCAGATCTTTGAATATCAATGGTCAATTGTTCATGTGTCCGAGATTTACCATTTTTCCTAGAAAATGTGACTTTCTATGATTTTATGTGATCAACAATAACACATTCATAATGTTCACTAAATCTGCTACAATCTTGGATAACTGTTTAAACAATGTCTACCTCAATGTCTAGTTTATATCAGTATCTAGTCACTATATGGTATTATGTTATATTGTATTTAATTATCTATTAAACAAATGTTCTATGCATCCCCTTTCACCTTCCGTATCGTTCCCAGCCATCGGGCAAAAGTCACTTTGGAATATCTGGAGGAGAATAAGCCTTGATTCATTAGTCCTGATGAATGGCTGCCAAATACCCCAGATGCAAACTCCTGTGACTATCACCATTGGGGGCACCTGGAGCAGCTTATTGCAGTTAATGGTAATCCCCCACAAACTATTGTTAAACTAAAAGAAGTTCTGCAGGAGAAGTGGAGAGAACTACTACAAGAATCGCTGGATCGCGCCATTCACCAGTTCTGCCCATGTCTCCTTGTAGAGAAGGTGAAAGGTTGATGCATAAAATTTGTTTAATAAATAATCAATAGATACATAATATCATAGTGACTAGATACTGATATAAACTGTACTAGACATTGGTTGAACAGTTATCCAAGATTGTAACAGATTTAGTTAACATAATGAATGTGTTATTGTTGATCACATAAATGAAACATTTTCTAGGAAAAACGGTAAATCTCGGACACATGAACAATAGACCATTGATATTCAAAGATCTGATAAAAAAGATTGAAGTCCAGTTTAGCTTTAGTATTTAAATGGTAATATATGCCTATCCTTAAGTTTCTGTAAATAATTTTTTATGGCAATACCCTTATGTTTTAATACTTTTCTAGCCTTTTAAAAAAGTTGCAAATTTTTTTGGCCCACCCTGTACATGCAGAAAATTGTACAAAGTGATTATATTGTTATTTTTACATTCACTATCTCCCCGCATAAGCTTGGCAGTCGGAAGTCTCTTTTTGAATGAATCATTGAAATCTCGTTTGCGCTTGGCGAAAAAATTCGTCATTTTTGTCATTTCCCGAGATATTTCAATTGTGGAACAAAATTAAGATTCTAACATTGTCAGGCGTTGATATGCTATACAATGAAAACTCCCAGTTGCCAAACTTACGGAGAGGAGCGCTAATTGCAAGTATCATAGTGCACATGTATTCATAGTAGAAGTTGTTAAAGAGATTTAATGTACATGTCATTCACAGATGTATGAAATAAATAAATCCCAAATACCCATGTTTTATTAAATTTTGAATGACACAAGACATCGACAGAAATGTTACTTGCTAGTGTTCATAATTCATCACCTCGTTTCTTGAATAAATAGACACAAATATTACATGCTAGTATTTAAAATTCACCACCTCGTTTCTTTTTTCTTGTTCTTTTACTTGGACATATAGACACAAACGTAGCCTTCATAAATCACCTCGTTTCTTTTGGTAGGTCTATCGCTTGGATATTCAGACACAAATGTAGCGTTCATAAATCACCTCGTTTCTTTCGAAAGGTCTATCACTTGGATATATAGACACAAATGTTACATGCTAGTGTTCATAACTCGTCACCCCATTTCTTGTGTCAGCAATTCCCACTTCTTGAATATTTAGACACAATTATTACAAGCTATAAGTGTTCAGAATTCATCTTCTCGTTTCTTTTAAATGCCAACTAATGTCCATAGTATCTAACCCCATTTATTGTATCTAATAGTTATATCACCTAAACCTATAGATACAAATATTTCATGCTAGTGTTCATAAGTAATCACCACATTTGTTTTACTAAAACTTCAATCACTTGGATATGTATATATAAAAATGGTTCATGCTAGTGCTAATAATTCATCACTTGGACATGGAAAGACACACATGTCACATATGTGCTTATTATTAACAACAGGCCGCGATATCACCCTGTTTCGAAACTGATGTCTCGTCCACTTTGACATGAACATTCAAAGTTTAGTGCTTATAGTGCCGGATCCTGTCCATTTGTCTATAAGTTCCATCACTTGGACATGTAAATACACAAATGTCACTTATATGTCTTTATTATTAACAACAGGCCGCGATTTCACCCTGTTTCCAAACTGATGTATCTACCACTTTGACATGAACATTCAAAGTTTAGTGCTTATAGTGCCGGATCCTGTCGTTTCATTTGTCTATAAGGTCTATCACTTGGACATGTAAAGACACATGTGTCACATATGTCTTTATTATTAACAACAGGCCGCGATATCACCCTGTTTCCAAACTGATGGATCTACCACTTTGACATGAACATTCAAAGTTTAGAACTAATAGTTCCTCAACTGATAGCTCGTCCACATTAGTACGAATATTCAAAGTTTAGTGCTTATCGTGGCCAATGCTGTTGTGTCATTTGCACTGGTATATCATTCTATTTCTAATGTTTGATAGTTCTATCACGTGTCTATCTTGCTTGAGTGTCACCCACCGCCTAGTGACCACCGATTACTCTGTATATTTGACTTATAGCTCTGTCATTTGGTTTGAACATTCAACGTTTAGTGCTTATCGTGGCCAATGTTGCTGTGTCATTTGTATATCATTCTACTTCTAGTGTTTGATAGTTCTATCACATGTCTATCTTGTTTGAGTGTCACCCACCGCCTAGTGACCACCGATTACTCTGTATATTTGACTTATAGCTCTGTCATTTGGTTTGAACATTCAAAGTTTAGTGCTTATCGTGGCCAATGCTGCTGTGTCATTTGTGTTCCTTGGTGTTGGCGCCGGTTGTGGTTGAGGTGCAGATCTACACTTGCACTTCTTCCATAGCTTGTTCCAAGGAAGTGTGCTAAATGTGTAGAGTATCGGGTTGATAGCGCTGTTGATTGGCAACACATAAATACTTACATAGGCAACAATTTCTCCTGAAATGAATATTAAGGAAAATAAAGTAAAATTTCCTAATGTCCTTGAGGTTATATTGGTTCAATGAAATTACACTTATTGAATTAAAAGAGAATCACGTCTTTGGTGAAATATGGTTTCGTTGGAAGTCAGATATCATTGATAAGACTTCATGGCATTGGTTCCTTCCCAATGTCCATTGTCCATCTGTGTTTTTATACAGTTTGGTAACTTTAGTTGTAAGTTAGATATCATTGTTTTTTTTTATATCAAACTACATGGTGGAATTGAAATACCGGTACTAGTATTATGATTTGAAAATATCATAGTAATGAGAATTACATAGTAGATGCTTATCCATATTGATATAACGTTAAATACTGAGGTAATACAAGAGCATGTGCAACCAACCTGGGAGCGCTACCTTGTAATAGGTTAGGAATCCCATGATTATTACTGGAACCCAGCAGCAGAAGTCGGTACCCACGATCCACATCAATTTTAACGCCATCCTCCTTTCTTGCTCTTGTCCCGAGCCTTGTTTTGATTTTGATTTAGAGATCATAGTAGCAACAAATATAGCCAAGTAGCCAGCAGCTATAAGAAGAAAGGCTAAAAGATTGACAACATTGAAAAGAGCAAAAGAATACTCCCAACCGTTAAAATGGGAGTAAGCTTGCTGATTTTGTCTGTTTAAAGCAATGCTGTCCTCCGATCCGGTGCTTTTGCGTGCGTTTAACGTGGCTTCTTTTGAAGGATCATAATTCAACATTAGTGGTAAGCAAAAGCCGGATTGCGTGTAGAATTCATGAGGTCTGAAGTAATCAAGCGGAAGAAGTGGTAAAGCTGTTAAAGTTATGCAAAGAGTCCAGCCAACGATGAGAACACCATGGACAACACGCTTGGAAAAGTGTAACCACACTTTAAAGGGAAAAACTATTTTGAGGAACCGGTCAAGCGTCATGACAACGAGGATATACACAGACATCTCACTTGACAATGATGCAATAAATCCAGAAGCCATGCACAGGCTACTTTTGGTCCAAATACCAAGGTTTTGAAAGTAGGTGTCTCTGTATTTCATATCCATCGCAGCTATTATGATAATGTATACTCCAATAATCATATCCGATAATGAAAGATTCATTATCAATATCCTGTTTATATAATTGTACTGTGTTCCGGCTTCCCTGTAGCGGTATAAAATTACGGCACTGTTTCCAAGGAGTATACATATACCAAATGTCCACAGTGATACCCTCAGTATGTTGTTCTTCACTAGGTCTCCACACGAAGACAGATGGTCTAGCTGTGGGTAACAGTCTTTAACTGTTGTTGGAACGATGCAGCAGAATTCCTCATGATCGCCGGAAACACGAGTCAACTTCTCTAGTCCTTGAAATAATGACACTGGGTATTTTGGCAATGTTTTTTGGGAGATAAATATGGATTCAATATTTCTAAGTTGTGTAAACACGTGTGGCCCGATTATAAGGATATGACAATTCCAAATACTCAAGTCTGTCAGTGCATCAAGACCCTCAAACATTGCCGGTTGCAGACGTGGTATATCTATATTTCCGAGAATAAGATACTTCAGTTTATTCAACCCGTTAAATTGTCCAGCTGATATTGTCTCATTTTTTGAAACATGTATTACATATAGCTTCAACAGGTTCTTATAGTCTGTTGGGTGTCTGAACATAACATTGGATTCATCTAGTTGCTCTATGCGTAAGTATTGTAACAGGTCTGGATTAGGAAGAAAAACATCTTCTGTACGTTTTATACCACATCTCAAAATATCTAATCTCTCCAGTGAAGCTAAATTATAAAACGGTTTACTGTTTATTGGATATTCCAACAAAGAACCATATAGAAGCAATTCCTTCAACTTGTGTAATCCTTCAAATGACATGTTCCCCACCCTCAGTCGCTTCTTATTTTCTTCTATATTTAGCCATTCAAGTTTACGCAGCCCTTCGAATCCAAACGAAGAGATTACATGTATCTCATTTCGACTAAGATCTAAACGTTTGAGATTTGGCATTCCATGAAACATTCCACTTTCTATATAACGTATTTTGTTTAATGCTGCAAACACGCCTCTCACAGTTTGTGATATATCTATTGGTATTGTGTACAGTCCAACATTTTGGCAACTGATTTCTCCTTCTCGCAACGTGTAACCATAAGGTTTGTTGCACGAGCATGGCCGTCGTGCTGGACATGCTGTGATGTTTGTATCCTGATCTGGACCTACTTTTTTCATTTTTACACACATGAACGTATCAGTGAAATTTTCTTTACATTCTGCTTGCCTCCATGTAATGTTAACCTCAGATGTTTCTATAGAATTTATAGTTCTCACCATCAAGTCGCATGTTCTAGCACCAGTCATCAAACCTGGAAATGAAGTACATGGTAGGGTCAACGGTGCGTACAATTGTATGTAGTAATAGTTGTCACAAATAATTCGTATGTTCTAGCACTAGTCATTAACCTGAAAATGAAGTATAGGGTAGGGTCAACGGTCCGTACAACTGTATGTAGCAATAGGTGTCACCAATAACTCGTATGTTCTAACACCAGACATTAAACCTAGAAATGAAGCGTATGGTAGGAGATCGGAAGGGTGGGGATTGAAATGGTATTATATACCCATGTTTCTCATACGAGCTATAGTTCTCAGGATCAAGTCGCACGTTGTAGCTTAATTCATTAAACCTGGAAATGAAGCGTATGGAAGGAGATTGGAAGGGTGGGGAGTGAAATGGTATTATATACCAATATTACTCATACGAGTTATAGTTCTCAGGATGAAGTCGCACGTTCTAGCTTAATTCATTAAACCTGGAAATGAAGCGTATGGAAGGAGATTGGAAGGGTGGGGGTGACATTGTATTATATACCAATGTTCCTCATACGAGTTATAGTTCCATGGATCAAGTCGCACGTTCAAGCTTAATTCATTAAACCTGGAAATAAAGCGTATGGAAGGAGATTGGAAGGGTGGGGAGTGAAATGGTATTATATACCAATGTTTCTCATACGAGTTATAGTTCAGGATCAAGTCGCACGTTCTAGATTAATTCATTAAACCTGGAAATGAAGCGTATGGAAGGAGATTGGAAGGGTGGGGAGTGAAATGGTATTATATACCAATGTTTCTCATACGAGTTATAGTTCTCAGGATCAAGTCGCACGTTCTAGCTTAATTCATTAAACCTGGAAATAAAGCGTATGGAAGGAGATTGGAAGGGTGGGGAGTGAAATGGTATTATATACCAATGTTCCACATAAGATTTATAGTTCTCACCATCAAGTCGCACATTCTAGCTCCAGTCATTAAACCTGGAAATTAAGCGCATGGAAGGAGATTGGGTGGGGAGTGAAAGGGGTATTATACCAAATGTTAATTTTGCAATCTTAATTTCATTTTCAGAAAAAATGATTTCCAGGTTTGACAAAACAACGATTTCAAATGAAAGTTGAATGTAACTGTTAATCTTCATATTCTCTGCCATTTATCGCCCCAATATACGATTTTCCCCAGCTCAAGGAGCGGATGAGAACTGAGATAAGCAAAAATAATGTTTATTGTGAATTGATACTGGGAGGAGTATAAATTAAAGCTATGATTTCTTATTAATTTCCAATTGTTAAAAGTTAATCAAGGGCGACGCCAAATTTTCTTGTATTGCATGTTTAATATCAATAACCAGTGAAAAATAATTGAAATGGTACCTGCGTATACAGATTGCTGCGGTTTATGTGCAATATACGGGAGTAGTTCCGTATTATTCAAGTTGCGAAGTGTTTTCTTCATGCATGCCTCTTCCTCCCTCCCATATTCGCCATCGTTGGTTATTGCAGCCAGGAAGGCATCTTTAGACCAACAACTTTCTCTCGCTTCGACCCATGTCAAATTGTGGGTTTGATTGATAAACAACCCATAGCACCTTCCATCACATTCGTACCAACCATTTGGGCATGCATCTGAAATAAAAAAGACGAAAAATCCAGTCATGTTGCCGTTTGTTCATGAATCTGAGGACAAAATGTAAACAAACCGTAACATCTGCCTGTACATTGATACGCATACCAGCCATTTGGGCATGCATCTGAAATATAAACACGACAATGGAAGTAGCTCTAGCATATGTAGCCATTTTGGCATGAATCTGAATATAAAGACGACAATTGAACCAGTGCTAGCATCTGCAGCCATTTGGGCATGCATTTGAAATATCAAGACGACAATGGAAGCAGCCCTAGCATATGTAGCCATTTGGGCATGCATCCGAAATATAAAGACGACAATAAAAGCAGCTCTAGCATATGTAGCCATTTGGGCATGCATCTGAATATAAAGACGACAATTGAACCAGTCCTAGTATCTGTAGCCATTTTGGCATGCATCTGAAATATAAGACGACAATGAAACCAGCCCTAGTATCTGTAGCCATTTGGGCATACATCTGAAATATAAAGACGACAATGGAACCAGCCCTAGTATCTATAGCCATTTGGGCATGCATCTGAAATATAAAGACGACAGTGGACCCACCCCTCGTATCTGTAGTCATTTGGTAAAATATATAGACGACAATTGAACCAGCCCTAGCATCTGAAGCCATTTGGGCATGCATCTGAAATATAAAGACGACAGTGGAACCATTCCTCGTATCTATAGCCATTGGGCATGCATCTGAAATATAAAGACGACAGTGGAACCACCCTTCGTATCTGTAGTCATTTGGTAAAATATATAGACGACAATTGAACCAGCCCTAGCATCTGAAGCCATTTGGGCATGCATCTGAAATATAAAGACGACAGTGGAACCACCCCTCGTATCTATAGCCATTTGGGCATGCATCTGGAATATAAAGACGACACTGGAACCAGCCTTAAATCACTGAATAAATTGAATAATATTTTAAATTCAAATAATTCCACTGAGATATCACTTATCCATTCTAATATAAGAAGTCTATCAAAGAATCAGTGGAAGTTGGATAACCTGATTGCATCTCTTGATAAAGAGGTATCTGTTATAGCATTATCAGAAACATGGCTATTTAATGAGGATGAGCATAGATTTCAGAATTATTTGACATACAATGGATTTTTTAAATCAAGGACTAGCAAAGGTGGAGGTGTTTGTCTTTATGTTCATAAATCCCTTACTGTTATTGAGAGAAATGATCTTAATTTTAATAATGATAGTTGTGATGTTGTTACTTTGGAATTAATAATGGAAAATACATGCAATATTTTAATTACAGCTATTTATAAACCTCCTAATGTTAATATTGAAGAGTTCAATGAAGATTTGGATATATATATGGCTACTATTTCAAGAGAAAAGAAAATTTCTTATATCATGGGTGATTTTAATATTGACATTTTCAAAATTAAACAACATGCTCAAACAGAAAACTTTTATGAAATTATGAAATCATACAATCACTCTCCACTTATTTATAGACCGACACGTGTAACTTCAACATCAGCAACATTGATTGATAACATATTTACAAATGATAATAAAGTTAATTTATGTGGTGTTTTAATCTACGATATATCAGATCATTTTCCCATCTATGCTACCAATGAAAGAATACTTCCAAAAGCTAAAACAGTCTTAATTAAATACAGAAAAGTCAATAAGGAGTGCATCAATTTATTTAAATCAATGTTAAGTAACACAGATTGGAATAATTTAATCTCAATTAATGATCCTAATGAATCTTACAATATTTTTGACACAACCATCCGTTCTTTATATGAAAAGTGCTTTCCTTTTTTGACTAAGAAAATAAAAATTTTCAATGATGTATCAAAACCTTGGATAACTTTAGGAATCATCAAATCTGTTAAAGCAAAATCTAAACTTTATAAAAGATACTTAAGAAAGCCATCTTATGCAAACAAAACCACTTACAAATCATATGACAAAATCCTTAGAAAAATTGCAAATGCTTCTGAAAAACACTTTTATAGACAAAAATTTCAAACAGCTGCCGGGAGTATTAAAGACAATTGGGAAATAATTAACGATTTGCTTAAAAGGGAAAAACATAATTCTAGCAATGTAACTTCTTTTTTGCACAATGGTAAAGAAATAAAAAATGAACAGGAAATTGCAAATCATTTTAACTTATTCTTTTCTGAAATTGGTCAAAATCTTGCTTCAAAAATCCCCTCTTCAGATAAAACACCCTTAGAATTTATGACAAATCTCAACCCACAGTTAACCAGTATATTCTTAAATCCTATTGACTCAAATGAACTACTCAGGGAATTTAAACAACTAAAAGATTCGGCTGCTGGAGTAGATGACTTTAAACCTAATACCATTAAGCAATGCAGCGATAATTTTCTTAAACCTCTTTTACATATATTCAATAACTCATTCTTAAAGGGTGTTTTTCCAGACAAACTAAAAATTGCTAAAGTTACCCCTATTCATAAAAAAGATGAACTCAATTTATTTACTAATTATCGGCCTATATCAGTTCTTCCTGTTTTTTCAAAGATCCAAGAGAAACTTATGTATGCACGGATGAGTAATTTTATTGTTAGATTTGGAATTCTGTACTTGAATCAATACGGCTTTAGAGAAAAACGATCTACTTATATGGCAATTCTACAATTTGTTGAAAAAATTAAGAAATCTGTTGATAGCAATGAATTCAACATTGGACTCTTTTTGGATTTTTCAAAAGCATTTGATACAATCGATCATAGCATACTGTTACAAAAATTAGAATTTTATGGATTTAGGGGACCTGCTCTTAGGTGGGTCTCGAGTTATTTAACAAATCGAAAACAATGTACCAAATATCATGATACAAGTTCATCTTTTGAAACTATCAAATGTGGTGTTACACAGGGATCTGTTTTAGGGCCCCTATTTTTTATCCTTTATATTAATGATATCTACCTGGCCTCTCCAACACTTCTCTTTGTTCTGTTTGCTGACGATACAAATATTTTAATCAGTGGAAAAAACATTAATGAAATTAAAGATACTTTAAATACTGATCTTAATCAAATTAGTGATTGGCTTGTAGCCAATAAACTTTCTCTTAATATAGATAAAACCAAATACATATTATTTTCTTCTAAGCAAAAAAGATAAATACCACAAATTTAGATATATTTATTGATGGTAAAAAGATTGAAAGAGTAACACATACTAATTTTCTTGGATTGATCATTGACCAACACCTTACATGGAATGACCATATTAGTAAAGTCAAAATGAAAATATCGAGAATAGTTGGCATTTTGTATAAGATTAACCATTTACTAGATAGGAAAACCTGCATGACGATATATCATTCTCTAATTCATTCCTATTTAACATACAGTAATATCATTTGGGGAAACGCCAATATCACCTCAATTAATTCACTTCATTTATTACAAAAGAAATTTGCTAGAATAGTTACTCACAGTGGATATAGAGATCATAGTTCACCATTATTTAAAGAATTAAGAATTCTAACCATCCATGATATATTCAAAGTTAACGTGGCTGAATTTTTCTTTAAGTGGCAAAATAATGAAAACAATATGCATGATATATTTCCTAACTTATTTACAAGGCATATTGAATTACATAGGTATGATACAAGAGGTAAATACAACTATGCCTTGCCCCAATTTAAAACAGAATCCTTTGGAAGAAAGATGCTTTCATTTCCGGACCATTTATTTGGAATGACCTCCCTTCAGAAATTAAAAATTCAAGGTCGAGTAAATGCCTTAAATCGAAATATAAGAAATATGTTTTGGCTTTGTATACATGATTTCATTTTACACTTTTCATATTCATGTATTTTATATAAAAATGATATACAAATATAACTCGAAGCCTGGGTACTGGACACTAAACCTGTAAATATTTATATCTGTGATGCACCTCCCCCATCAAAACTTCCTCTCGATCTTCTCTTAGAGAAAACTTAATCTTGATATGTTTGATAAATCCTTGACCTTACCTTGCTCTTAATATTCGTAATATTATGCTTTAACATGTACGGGTATAAACATCAGAAATGATGTCACCTGTTAAACCTGTACTGTATTTTATTATATTATTAAGGAAATAAATTGAATTGAATTGAATCTGTAGACATTTGGGCATATATCTGAAATATAAAGACGTAAATAGATCCAGTACTATATCTAGTATCTGTAGCCATTTGGGCATAAATCTAAAAAAATGGTATGAATCTGGATTCAAATAGCTAGTTTGTCTCTGGCAGTCAGCTTAGAGTAATTCAGTGATTGTTCAATGAAAAGCTTCTTGATTTGTATTAATTTAAATCGTATCTGAGTGTTAAATACAAATGAGTGTCTTTTATTTTCGTTATCCATTCAGCAGTGCTGCTATGTGATTTGTACGTGCTCTGTAGGTTTGATGTCTGAACAAGGGCGTTACAATACCCGGGAATTTATCGGTTCGTGCAGTACTTATTTGTGATAGCGCCCTCTGTAGGTCACTGTGCTTAATAGCCTACAGTAATACGGGGTAGGAATTCGGTCAGTTTCTATCCGTCGATTACGCTATGAATTGAAGCAAGTGTGACCACTTTATCCACTAAAACAATTTGATAATTGATTAAATCTTTAAACAAAATCGATAAACACGTTATACACTTCCTATTTCCTTAGAAATTAGCATGTATTTATGGATTGTGTTTTCGAACAAGGCTCGACGCAGACCAATAGGGAAATCCTTATGCTAATTAGTATGACGTCATATTTTCCTGGGGAATCCTAGATTTCAAAGCCTCAGTCTGTTATTGTGTCAAATGTAAACGCTCTTTTGCAGACAGAAAATTGACAGATTAGCTTTTAACTTTCAGCTTTGATGTTTAAATATTCTGTATTTCTACCGGACTTCTTGCTGAATATCATATAATGTTATAACTTGATTTGGACCATTGCCTGATTGATCATTCTGAAAGTTTTGATTGTGATTCATGATTGATTGGCAAGAAAATAATTCCTAATGTTTTCAAGCGAAGTCAAAATGTTACAGCATGAGTTATAATGTCGAGTTTGCATTATGTTAAATTCTGCTAGTGATTAGAAGTCCATGCACAAGCATACACATAAGAAACAAACACACCCAGGCTCCAGGCCGTGGATG